AAACATTTCAAAAAAAAAAAAAAATAAAAAAAAAAAAAAAAAAAAAAAAAGAAAAAAAAAAAAAAAAAAAAAAAAATGTAAAACAAAGAATGATGCAAAAAAAATTGGCATTATTGTTTGAATGGAAAATGCATTATTGACCAACAAAAACTTTTGCAATTACCAGGTTAAAATATGGATTTATTGTATGGTGTTAAAATTTTTTTTATATAATCATAATAAATCTTCTTATTACGCTAATAAAATTACAATAATTTTTTTTTAAAAAAATAGCATTAAAAAAATTTAATTTTATCTTCAACAAAAAGAACACATTTAAAAATTAGCAATTTCATAACCATTTTTTTTTAATTCCCGAAAATACAATTATAAAAAACGAAACAATATTAAATTACAAAAATCAATGTCTACCGTATTAAAGACAATATGTGCAGTAAATACGGTATGATGCATATACGGTATGTTACAAATACGATATGCTATAAATACGGTATGTTGCAAATACGGTATGATGCAAATATGATATACCGTAAATACGATATGCTACAAATATGGTATGCTGTATATACGGTAAGCTGTAAATACGAATTGCTGCAAATACGGTACGCTGTAAATACGGTATACATAAATACAGTTGGCACTGTATTTGCAGCCTACTTACCGTATTTGCGGCTTACTGTATATGCTGCCGCCTACCATATTTGCAGCTTACTGTATTTGCAACCTAACGTATTTACAGCTTACCATATATGCTGTCTAACATATTTGTAGCTTACCGTATATATGCTGCCTACCATATTTGCAACTTACCGTATATACCGATTTTTGCACTTACAAATACCGAGAATGCAGAATACCGTATATTCACTTACCAAATCGAATGTTAGAAAAAATTTTCAGATGTTTATTTTTTCGACATAAGTATAAAATAATTATTAAAATATATGTAGCACAAAATGAAATATACAAGCATATTTTTTCTAAAAAACACAATATTGTTGCAATTGTAAAAATAATTTGTAATTATTTTCTTATATTATGAAAATATTTTTAGATATTACTTAAAAAACTTTTCAAAAAACTAAAATTTATAAGCTAATAAAAATACGATAAATATAAAATTCGTACAATGTACGTGATAGTAACTAGTGTTAGATTAAACTTAGTGTACAATGTACATCATTGGTAAGGAGTCCATATGCGCAGGCCTAGTAACATGGACGGTCCACTCTTTAATTCCCAATAACGGATTTCTCGTCTTTAAGTAAATCGTAAGCCACGTAAATATATCATATATAAAATCTCCTATCAAAACTTCATTTATTATTATTATTATTTTTTGTGTGTGCAGGTTATCAACCAATAGAAGTATAAAGCTTTCCGGACTCTATCTTCCTTCAAATTCATAATTGTATCTCACATATTAAAAAATTAAATTAATTAAGTATTTAACCTAAATCAAATTCCTTGAAAATACACTTTGTTTGTATCTTAAGCAAGTAAAACAATAGGGTAATTATATCTACGCAATAAATTTTTATATCTACACCACATTTTTATTACAGGAAAGGTTTTTAATATTTGCTGACTTTTGATTTTGCATCCTCAACTTTTTTCTTGTCACATTGTTATTCTTAACCTTCAATTAGTTAACATATTTTGTCTTTAATCACGATTTTCAATCAAATATTGTACTAACGTGCATTGAAAAAATGGATAAATATTTTGTTTAATTTTTATATTAGTTATTTATTTTGATTTTTTAAAAATATGAGAGATAAATCTGTCTTTTTGGTACTCATAATGAACAAAAATCATTTCTATAGACAATATGTGAAAATTAATAAAGAGTGGCAGATAATTTTAATATTTTTTTAATTGAGGGTACAAATGTAAAAGTAATAATAATTTTGAGATATTTATTGTAATTAAAATGTGACGTAATTAACAGAAGTGTGGTTGAATTTATCCAAAACTAAATCTCCGCCGTTTGATACGCCTGTGTCTCTACTTCATAGCATTCCGCTCTCTCTCTACTATTATTCAACCGCCATTCCACTTCCCCATATCTCTTCACATTCTCTCAATTTTTGGGAATAACTCCCTTTCATTCTCTTCAATTTGGTTTTGGATAGTCAAAAATCATTTTAAAATTCGTTCTAATGGCCGCTTCATTCATTCAAATTTTATCGCTAACTCTCATTTTCACCGTCATTTTCGCTGTACAATCAGTAGTCGCCGTAGATCCGCCGGAATATTCTCCTTCCCCCCAACGGCTTGGTGACGACTTCTCCCCGTCCCCCGCTACTCCCTCGATATCCCCTTCCGTAGCAGATTCTTCTCCTCCAGCACCTCCACCGTCAGATTCCTCCACTGCACCGTCTCCGGTTGCAGACGAGAATTTTCAGTATCCTTCCCCGGTTCCGGCGCCGGAGATTTCGAGCGATGTGAATCACGCGAACCAAGCCGATTTCGGTAACGTGGAGTCTAATGAGTCGTCTGGCGGGATGAAAAGCGGGCATAAGGCAGGGATTGCACTCGGAGTAATTTTGTTTGCGTGCGTTATTGGTATCGGCACTATTGTATACAAGAAACGCCAGCAGAATATCCGCCGGTCGCAGTATGGGTACGGCGCTAGAAGAGAATTTCTGTAGACGCACACATTTACAGATTTCTATTTCTATATATGTGCAATGTTTACTACTTCTACTACTACAACAGTCTCACATGGTCCTTTTGTTTAATTATTTGTTATTAATTTTCGTAGATTCATTATTTCATTTGTTGAGAACTTGCAAGGTGAATGATTTATGATTTTGTTTGACTGATGATTCTTTTTCTAATGAAATACGTAATCATACATTTATTATTTTTATTTTTAGATACTATTCAAACAATTAAATAAGATCAATTATTTTAGCAAAAGTGCTACATATACAGTAAATTATAAATCAACTTATACAGTCTCTCACTTGTAGAGAATGGGATTTAATCGCGCTTCTCATACATGTAAGAGGGATGTAATTTTTACGGCCCTCAAATGCGGTCCAAATATCTTTTTTCTTATTTTAGTGCTTAATTGTTTTGCATTCTCTTTTTCCATTTCCATATATGGATTGTCAAATTCATGCATGACTCGTGCAACAATAAGAACAAAATTTTTGGATTTCTGTGAGAAGTTTTAACTCGATGGTATTTTAACGAAGCATTAAAAGCAACTAAATGTTTCTGCAACCACAGTAAGAGATTATAGAAAGAAAATCACATTGATTGAACAATACAAGTAGCAAGAAATGCCTATCATTTTGCAATTTTGTCGGTCAAAATATTCTTAACATAATTCAATTTTGCTCTCTCGAATATGGTTTCAATTCCCAATTAATGCATAACATTTTGCAATTTTACGCTTTTGCTATAAAGGGTTGTACGCTTTGATTGAGCTGTATAACAATGTCAGATTACAATAACAAATATTATCCTCACCTTTCTTCAAGATCATAATCCAGTAAAGCAACAGTCCTCACGCTCCGACAGTGGTACTTCCAGCAGCAACAGCAGTACCAGAAGGCTTCTTCAGTGGAACGGCACTCTTGGCGCCAGCGGAGGAGGCATTACCTGTTGTAGTTACAGAAGCAGCAACTCGAGCTTGAAGCAGCAACTCGAGCTTTCTTTGGCTTCTTCACTGAGACGGTGCCTTTGGTGCCGGTGGAGGAGGTAGCACGAGCATTAGTTAAAGCAGTAGCGGCTCCAACCTTCTTTGGCCTCTTCACTGAAACGGTGGAGGAGGAGGCCGAAGTGGCAGCATTTTGAGTGTGGAGAGAGGTGATATGGCACTCCGTCCAGTCGATACCTTTGAGGTCCTTTATCACTTCCTTCAGATTGGGGCAGCCACACGGTGAGACGCCGTCGTCTTGTAAAGTAGAGCGGCCGAGGTTCATCAGTTGTATTCTGCTCACCACTTCGATCAAATTCTTCTGAATTAACAAATTACTCAATCAATCAATATTAATAGAAATGTTTTCTCAGATATAAAGTAAAAGAAAATTCGTAAACTATGTAATATTGGAATTGAAATTGGATTTTAATCTATGAATGATTGAATCAGGCCTTTTGACACTGCATCTTGTTGGAGCCGTGCATGCTAATGATCTGTAAAATTAAAGCAACAAACCAAATTAACCGAAAACTTGGAAGCAATCTATACACGCAATTAATTCAATAAATTAACAGCACAAAAATTTAACCAAAAATGACAAAAGTTCAGAATGAACTGCTTAAATTTAGAAAAATAATTTCGAGTGGGGATCAGAGGACCTGGTTGAGTTGGCGGACGGTGAGATCTTCGAAATTCTTGTGACCGTCAACGAGATCGAGGTAATCTTCCATTGCTAGCATTTGTTTTTGCTTCTTTGTCAATGTCTCTTCCACCATTTCCATATCTTCTCTCGAGTTCGCTTTCCTTCTGATGTGAATTTTGTTTTTTCTGTAACTGTTTGAAACTTTGAATGAAAGCAAAATGCATTGCTTGCCTGCTGCTTTAGCACTATATATACACACATTCCCTGTTACACATATACGTATACTTACGTATTTATTTACTGTGTAACAAAATCAATAGACAGTAATGGGCCTTACCCCCATTGAGGCCGGGGCCCATAAATCCAATTGAGGAAAATATTATAGCCTTTGAGTTTTGATTTAACCCCTTGTCATCCCTTACATTACCGATACGTTTGATTGCAAGCATAAAATTTGCATGAAAAGAAAATAAATTATAGATAATTCAATTGTCTAAAATTTATTTGTATGAAAATTATTAATTAAATGTGTTTGATTGATTTAATTTTCAATCTAAAAAATATTATACTTGTCAATTTTTATTGGTGGGTTAATGAATACGAGTGGATAAATAAGAGAGAGAAAGAGAGAGTGAATTTCATAGAAAATAAAACCCCACTTTCCTAAAGAAAGTATTTTCCTTAATTTTGATGAAAATATGATCACGTGACGAAAAGTGGAAAAATATTTTCATCGAAAAATGGCAATCAAACAGCACAAAAATAGAAATTTGGATGGAAAAAACACATTTTCCATGAAAAATATAAGCAATCAAACGAACTCTACATTCTTTCCCATTATTTTTTCTACAGTATCCATTTTAAATCACATTCTTCATTAAAATAATATTACACGCAAAACAAAAAAATTTCTTCCTTTTTAACCATATTCTCCATCAATCACGCATAATCATTTCTTCTAATGGGGCTCCAACAGGGCCTTAACCCAATTTTTAGAGTGAAATCCAATGTTCTTTGAAACAATGAGTGGTCGATCAATTTTATTATCTCAATCATCTTCCATGCCATCCTTAGACACAGGAGAATCTTTGGCCATTAAGTTTCGACTCATAAGTAAATTAGCTTCAAAAACGACTTCAGTGTTTAGTTCATTCAGTTCCATGTACCCAAATATGTTCATCGATGTACACGAGCAACCGACCTTTACGTGTTAACTAAAAAAGAAGAAATTGATTCGAGGTGGAATCCATGCAACAAAATTTTCATTTTTTTCGCAAATTGTATTCAGAGAATCCAGGGAAACCAGCCAAATAAACACATCACTCAAGAATCGATAGAAATTGCATATCGTTATGATATATATGTTGGATATTGGTTAAATAAATCGAGAATTGAAAATCGATTAAAATTCGTATCGACTTCGGACAAATACTCAAAAAATTAAAGTTCGTATCGATTTCGGTCAAATACTCAAAAACTCGATTCAATCCGTTTAGGCAAAATTGTTTGCCACTACGTCGCTTCGGGGCGCACAAACGGGGATAGACCTGCCCGGTCAGGTCGCGAGGGTCGAGGGGGCAGCGCCCCCCGTGGGGGGTAGAGGGCAACGCCCCCGAAAGAGAATTTTGATTTCTCTGCATGTATTGAAGGGTATATTTGGCATTTCGAAAACCAATATCAGATGAATGAGAAATTACGAAAAAGGACGAAAATCAGTGAATAGACACCTTTCCATAAATGTGCATTGTTTGGAAAGGGTGCATGGTTTGACCTCAACCATTAGTGAATAGACACCTTTTCATAAAGGTGCATTGTTTCGAAAGGGTGCATGGTTTGACCTCAATCATTTCGTCCACACCCTTTCATGGTCTATAAGTAGGACCCTTTGGGTGTCCTATTCCACACAATTTTGAAATACAAAACGTCTCTCAACCTCTCTTCTATCCAAAATCAAAATCATTTCATATATTTTGATTTTCTTTCATTTCATCCTTGGAGTACATAAGCCTAAATTTGGTTCGTACTTGTACTTGTGTTTTGGAGTGCTACAAACACAAGTGTAGCCGTTGTATCTTGGGAGTCGATTGCCGAAATCCGTAGACACCGTTGCGGGGCAAATTCGACTTAAAGACAAAGAGTCCAACTCTTGCCTCGACTTTGTCACCATCATTATACTTATTTCGGCGTCACTATTCACAAAATTCATCCAACAATATATTTCTCTTGTTGCTCTTGAAGGAGCCTAGCAGAAGATTTGACATCCAGATAAAGACTACCAACTTCTTCCAGATCCGCCTGCAAAAGCAAAAACGATACAAGCTGAGTATATATTCTCCTCACAAATAATCCTCCACAAACTTATATCTACCTACCTAGCAAATTTCATCGCGACCATTCATTTTAGCAACTATGCTGGCCGGCGATAACAGCTGGACTGCGTGCCTGATGTAAAATGACAAATGGATATATAATTAAAGAAAGAGGGAACCAGTAAAAAATAATTTGTAGGGAATTAAAAAACCTCAAGGATGCTTGCTGTCCACTCTCTCCAAGATAAGCCAGACTTTCCTCGTCTATCTGCAGTTCCTCGACTTATGCTCTGATAGCTAATATCTGCCACGGCATCAACAAAAATCATTTACTTAATAGCAGTTGTGGATAAAAGGCTTTAAGGTTGCTATGAAAATAGCATGTAATGAATATGCAATAGAATGAATTTCTCTATACCTGTATCATTTCAGCTGGACCATAGGTTTCGGTTCTTATTATAACCAACCGATCTAGTAAGTCGACTGGTATGCCATGAGGACTATTCATGTCTGTTCCTCTGCAAAGTAATGTATTGTCTTTTAGCTTTTTAAGAGATAATGGCCCAGGAGATGATATATATATATATACATGTAACTAAAGTTGAGCAATTATAGTAAAATAATTAAATTTATCAGAGGAAAGACGGTTGCACACCATTCCTTGGCTCATTCTGATAGGTAATAACGATACTTGCGTCAACAAACAGGGTTTAGACGATACTGAGTCCCTACTTTGATGTAAAATTATTATAATAAAACAGGCTAAACATCAACAATGCAGCCCAAATAATCAGCCCAAGTACTCACAACCCATAATTATCTTAGCCCGTTTACAAATTATACCCTCATGTCCAAAAGTCAAGTCCACTTTCCCCAAAGAGGAAATTACAAAATGACAGGTGTTTAAAGACCACTCTTCAAAATTCATATACAAAGTTTGATTAATCAAAAATCAGGTTGATAATTATATATTTTAATAATAATATTATTATTATATTATAATTAATCAATCAGGCCATTTTATCCCAATACGGCAATACCATTTCCCCATTTCAAAACCTAATTGGCTAAATCTCTCTCTCCGCTCTCTTCACTCGCTGCCCTCCTTCATCCAAGTTCGCCGTCATCTGTCTGGCGAGACGAGAGCCACCGCTGTAGATTTGCCTTTTCTCCGACAAGACAAACGCAGAGGTGTGTGTGGGGGCACTGCACGTGATCTGTGAAGAAACATTGCGTCCCACCTCTTTCCTTCTCTCTATCGCCAACATGAGAAACACTGCACGGTACACGTCAACACCTCTAACGTAGTCACGCACAGTGGCGTCATCAACCGTTGATGCTGTTTTTGGTGGTCGGGGTCTGGGTTGGTCTTGTGTGGAGTTTTAGGTAGTAGTAGTGGTTTGGGATTGTTTTGGTGTTGTTGGGGGGTTTTGCTGGCGGCGTTGGTGCATTTGGAGGTGTTGAAGGTGGTGGTGATGGTCGACGATGGTGATGGTGGTGCGTGGTAGGTAGGATACAGGCAGTAGACTGTAGTGGTGAGTTTGCGACGGACTGGTGTGATCCGTTTGTGGTGGCGTTGCTGGTGCGGTGAGGTGATGGTGGCATTTATCGTTATGCAGGTGGCAGCAAGGGTGTGATCGTGCAGGAGTGGTTGAAATTTTCTCCGATTTGCTGTGTTTTACCAATTCATGGTGTTTCTCTGGTGGTGATGGTGGGGGAAGTGTTGGTGGTGGTGTATGTGACCCTTGGTTAAATACGTGACCTTAAAATTGGGTGTGTCGTGGTGGTGTTGTGGCAGGGACGAGGTATAATAGTGATTGTGACGAACCATTTGTTGCTCTGTGACCAAAATATTTGTGTTGATTTGATGTGACCAACTAAATAAATCTTGATCGTAAATTGTGACTTTAAAATTCGATCAACTGTGATTAAAATGTAATATGTAACCATTAAATTTGAAAATATGTGACTTGTGACCTATGCAATTTTTGATATGTGATTTCAAAATAATTTGTGACCACCAATTAATTTGATGATATGTGATCAGTAAAAAAATCTGTGACCTATAATTATGTTCATGTGACCATTAATTGTATAAATGTGACCTCATTATATTTAATTAATAAAAAATTTTAATTAATTAACTGAAAACCTGATTTTTGCATTAGTCAAACTTAAAACTTGATTCTTGAACTGTGCATAGTTAAGCCATGATTTGTGAATTCTTCCCTTCAACAAATCCCTAACCTAATCACAAAGCCCATTAACCAAAAATTCCCAGCCAAGAATTACAGGTTCCAAAACCTGCTTGGTGCCCTATTGCGGAAGCAATGTTGTCGTAGTCAACAATTCATCGCTAATCTCACCGGTCGATAACTGAGTTGCCATCACTGACCTCGAAAAGTCCAAAACCATAACTTATACTACAGCCCATATAATACTTCCACCCAATCAAAGGAGCCCCTGTTTAACCCAAGCCCATTACCCAGGGACCTTAAGCCTGTCCTTCGAACCAGATTTGGCAATTTTAAGGCTCCTGTGCACAACGCTCGCTGAGAGCATTGCAAATCTGCTTTGGAAGTGAGGACTCGAATTTGAAATCTGAACTCTTTAACAGTTTGAGATAGTCAGCAATCAATTGTTGATCGTTGCTCCAGTCGGAATTTCTATGCAGAAAACATCAAGGCCCTCAGTATTTATTTTTAAAGGTTGATGATAAGAAGGTTGATAGTGATGGAAAGAAGAGAAAGAAACTGGACAGGAGAAGCCAAAAGCCCAACCAAGAAACGGAAGAAAATTCTAAGGAACTAGCTCTGATACCATATCAAATATACTCAATAAGATTCGATGTCTCTCAGTGTGAGAAGTTCTCTCATTATATAGAATCGAAATCACTATTAAATATGTTAGTTATCAAACTAAATATTTACTAATGGTAACCTATTAAATACAAAGACTGATTCTTTATAAACTTTCCTTATATTCCACTGATACCTCTTGGCGAAAGTATTTAAGTAAATGGGAAAATTACACCCCTGTACCTGACATTACAAATTCCCCGGTTTGTCGCATTTGTCGCAAAAATTACTATAGGAGATAATGAACTCTCTAGAGCACGATTCGAGTATGAAAAGCACTCCATGTCCAGCATATGTACCTACGTTAAGCTCAGTGTGTTAAGAAAGGATATCTGCATACAATTCAAGGATCTAAATGTAAGGGTTTATAAGAAAAAATACCTCATCGATAAATAATACTCCAGGAACAAGTTCTGCTACACCTTCATCTATGTAACGGTTAACAACCTGCAATCAATTAATTGTACAAGTGCATGGTTAGTTGAAAAATCTACAATCATATAGTTTTTGATAATCCAGAAGTTGTTCCTTGACATGATATACAGCCGTTTCATGATTTCTAGAAGATATGACATCACAACCACAGAAAGTATACAAAAAGAGTTCCATTGAAACGTGATATATGTACCTTATTTATTTCTTGCCGTAGCTTGTCAGTAATTTCTGTTTTCCTGGGCTTCATCATCTGACCCATCAGGGATAATATATCTTGTCCACCTTGAGGTCGTGCATTTGCAGCATGAAGGTCATGTAATGTAACATCCTGAAAAGGTAGCAATATTTACATAGGCTAACCGATTTACATAAGCTAACCGAATGTTCAATAAAATTTGAAGACTTACATCCTCCCTCTCTGCATTTATTCTCATGATGAAACAACACCCATGTAGTAAAGCCCATTATGAGAATCACCACATACTATCCCATAAATATTTTATGACATATAACTTCAGCCCTCTAATATCTTAAGCACCAAAAAGCCATAATAGCTAACTTGTAAGAATTCTTTTGAAGATAATATTTAAATAATATTAATTTGACCATACCTAACAAATTAAGCTTTTAAATCTACTAGTTCAACAAGGCATCAAAGCAGACAAACGTCTTGGGTTCAAATCTCACCACCACCTACACTTTGGAAAAAATAAATCCCGCCTAAATGTGAAGGGCGTGTTTTAAGATAATGTTTTAATGATTTCATTTGTCCTTATCCGAAAGCTTAACTTTTAGATGAAATGATTTAACATTCTCCAAGTGAAAAAATAATAAACAAGACACAAGCAGGAACTACAAAAATTAAACTAATGTTGCGATTTATATGTTCATATAAAATCTAGACGGAAGCATGCCTAGTACATGCAACATAGGGCAAAAATTTTAATCTATTAAGAATCAAAAGGGTTTAAAAAATAAAATTATGCACAGGATACAATCCAGAATCCCAACTAATATCACACATGATGAAATTTATGATTTAACGAAAATGTTTAAACAATGCTCAAAACACCTGAAATAGCAGCAAACCTAACTGAGGTATTCAGATATTAACAAAATTCTTTTTCGTTGTGAACTTCAAACAATAAGTAACAAATAGCACTACAAGAAATTAAGTAAAACCATATTTCAGAAGACAGAGACGCACCTGGACTATCTCCTTCTTTTTGTGAACCTCTCCTTTGGGAAGTGGAACATATTCTTCTGCCTCGAGATCAAATTCTGTTGCAAAAGCATTACTCCTTCCCACCCTTTTAACTGCTCCACTATTTGCTTCAATGTATATAACGTCACCAACTGCTACCTGGAGGTTTGTAGCATTAAAAGTACAGCTAGGAAATGTAAACAATAAATTGCATAATTAAAATAATCATGGTGAAGAGGTACTGTTTAGACATCACAAGTTATTCACAAAACGTCCTTTAGAATTGGTCCACAATGTAACATACAAAGACATTTAGGAAGTTCCTCTCTATAATGACAAGAAACTAAAGAGTAACATTGAGTGAAACACAATATAAGGTAAAACCAGAGAAATTTTCCCGGCATGAAAGAGGCTTCTGAGGACACCTTTTCCTTAATCAAGGCATCATATATTGTTGGGTCCAGCTTCAATTGTTTTGTACCTTTGACAGTTTTCAAACCAATTATAATATGGCTTATATTTTTACCATATCCACCTGTCACACTCTCAGTTTCTTCTGGAGATAATTCAGTCACCTATAGTAAAGCAGCTGACAAGACATAAGAAGCTGGATGAAGCATTTAAATAAAGTAAAAAACAACAAATTGTACAAGAACACAAAAATAGATCTTGATGACTTGTAACTTGCCTCCCCTTCATAAACCTCCTTGTTCTCCTTGATACGGAGGCCAATAGCACGTCGAAAATTCTCCATTAGAACCTCTGTCTTCTTTACTTCAGATGAATACACTTCTGATCCAACCATTGGGCAGAAAGGAACCTTCAATTAAGGTAAGAGAAGAATATGGTACCAGTCAATAAGCATTATCACACTAATTTCAGTACCAAAATATAGCTAAAACGAAAAACTACGAAGACCAAAATGAAAGCAGTAATTCTCGTGAACAAAACCTTGCTACCAAGTTCTTGGGAAATTCCAAGGGCAAGAGCAGTTTTTCCAGTTCCAGGAGGACCTGCAAGTAATAACGCACGTCCAGCCATTTTCCTTTGACGTATCATATCGACCACAACGCCAGCTGCTTCCCTGGCGGCTGCCTGGCCCACGAATCCAGCAGCTAGAGGTATTGCATTTCCATTAGGCTACAAGAATCAGCAGGAAACAAGAAGAAATCAGTTGATGCTCTGTATATATCCTCACTCAATCGTTTGAAGACCATTAACAGAAACTAAAGTACCATTTCAACAATGACTAAAGAAATAACTGACCTTCTTTCTAATAGTACATATAATCCAGGCAATAAAGACTGAATCTTTAAACTTCAGAAGAAATTTTCTTCTGTTTCTTCTATTTATTACCCTAATTTAACAATGCATACATAAAAAAAAAAAAAAAAATTTATTGTTCCAGCACTTTTTTTTAAATTTAATTTTAAGTTTTGGCTTAAAAATTTTAAAGTGTCGAAGGAAACACAAAGCCCATTAAAAAATAGTTTTTTTTTTTTTTTTTTTTTTTCAGAAGCCATGAAACCAAAAACTATTAGCACTGGCATTACACCCCAAATAAATAAATAAACCTTAAATCTACGAAAAATTAAATTCTCAACGAAGGCAAAAAAGAAACATGGAAGAGAGGAGTAAGAAGAGATGTCTGACAAAAAATATACAGTATAATAATTACAAAAATGGAGTACAAAAATAGAGCAAGGTACCTCGAGTCCGAGGCCTTTGATATGAGTATGAGTTGCAATTCTCTGTTTCTTAGTGGTGGATTGTACCTCTTCTATCTTCATTCTCCTTCCTTTATTTCTTTCTTCTTCGTTTTCAAACCATTTTTTTTTTCTCTGTGATTTCTCGTTCTTTGTAAAAGCTTCCCTCACCCTACTTGGTGCTCTGAGCTAATTCGGCATAATGAAGAGAACCGGGTTAAATCTCCGCCGGGAGTTAATTTTTCCAATAATCATTGAATTTAGGGGAATGTTTTTATCGCTCACTAAAACTTAAAATATCAAATTTTGATCGCTGAATTTATTTATATATTTTGGATTGTTCATTAAAATTTAAAATGTCGAATTTTAATCATTAAACTTTAAAAAATATGGTGCATTACTCATTGAACTTTAAAAATATTGTATATTATTCACTTTAAACTCGATATTTTTCAAAGTTAAACAGTTATGAAAAAATTGTACACTACTCGCTTTAAACTCGATATTTTTCGAAGTTAAACAATTATGTTAGTGAGTAAGGTACGATATTTTTCAAAGTTCAATGGTCAAAATTCGACATTTTATATTTCAATGAGCAATCAAAGACATGGATCTAAATTCATTGATCAAAACTTAACATTTTAAATTTCAGTGACCAATCAAAGATATGCACCTAAATTTAGTGACCATTGGAAGAATTAACTCGTCCACCACCCAACTTTATACGTGGTCATCTTACGCAAATTTAGCCCTCGTTTGATCCAATTTATTTTCATAAAAATATATTTTAAAATAGTGTAATGATAGGAAATGTATGGTTAAAAAATAAGGAAAATTTTAAAATTTGCATGTAATATTATTTTATTGAAGAAAATGTGGTTGAAATGATGTCAAATCACTATTTAAGAACTTTTTTTTTTAAATGTGGGTCGAACAGAGCTTTATTTTATTTTATCACGATTATCCTTTATACTTAGTATGACCGTGACCTCCCAACTTAATTTTATTTTACCATAATCACTCAACTTTATTATAATATTTCATCATGATCGTTCAATTTCATTTCATCATTTTCATTGATTTTAAAAGGAATAAAACGATAATTTTGTAATATATATAAAAAATAAATTTAAAAAATAAAAACTTATTTTAAAAAAGAACGTTACTAAAAAAATTATTTTTTAAATGAAATAAAAACTTATTTTTAAAAAAGCATTACTTAAACAAATTAAATAAAACAAAAAACCATTTGAAAAAAAAAGTTCCTTTAAAAAATAAAATAAAATAAAAACTTACATAAAAAATATTTTAAAAATAAAATAAAAAGTTATTTGAGAAAAAAAGGTTTTAAAATAAAATAAAAACTTGTAAGAAAAGTTAATTAGAAAAATAAAATAATATGAAAACTTAATAAAAAAAATTTAAATAAACAAAATATTTTTGTTTTTTAAATTTATTATACACACACACACACACAAAATTAGTGAAAATTGTAAAAAGAAATTGGATGGCCATATTGAAGCGATATGTGAAATTAGGTAGTTATAGTGAAATAAAATCAAATTGAGTGATTGTAATGACACTATATATAAAGTTAGGTAACCCTTAATGGATTTAACCCAAGAGAGTTCCTTTTTAATAGCGTCATTGTACATATTTTCACAAATTTGTTAAAAGAACCTTTTCATTGTGCATAAAGTGTGTGTTTGAGCCACATTATTTAAAAAAAAAAAAATTGTATTTTGAAATTGTAGATTGATGGCAAATGTGTGATTAAAAATGAGGAAAAGCTTTAGATTTACATATCATATTATTTTATTGAAGAATATATATATATTTTTTTGAAAGAATAGGACTCAAACAGGACAATAGTGTGTAGGCCTTTTCATTTAAATTGTTTAAAAGGAATAGCTACCGCTATTTTTATTTACAATTTGAATATATCTATTATACTCTGAATTTATCTATATTAAAATTTTAAATTTTATAAAAATTATTATATTTTTCCATATTTGTTCCAATATTAACCTCAATTAATTTATTCATTTAAACACTATATATCTGTGTTATAGTTCTTAAAATTACTAAATTTCTCCCCAATACTTCAACCTTATTTTAATCACTCGAATATCTCCATTAAAATGTAATATTCATTTCTTTATTTCTTCCTTATCTCCTTTTGCAATCAAGAATATCCATATTAAAAACCTATACAAATTATTTGTAATTCAGCAGCGCTCGAGCAGACTCATTTACCAATGGAAGTGGAGTTCAATTCTTCCATGCAAAGTTTAGCATGTCTCAGCCTTGACTTGATCATAGCCGTGGTGGTAGCCCCAAAATTATTTGTAATTCAGCAGCTCTCGAGCAAACTCATTTACCAATGGAAGTGGAGTTCAATTCTACCATGCAAAGTTTAGCATGTCTCAGCCTTGACTTGATCATAGCCGTGGTGGTAGCCCCATCAGCAATCCCATGCAAATTCGCAGCTCAGGAGCAAGAAGTATAACAAGAAATTCTTTATGTTCCCTCTATAGAGTTGCATTGGACCTTTATATGATCCCAATCTAACCACCTGTGTAATTCCCAGAAAAGGTTAATAGGGCACAACCTAACACTTGATGTCATACTTCAAAGGAATGGGATTGGAAACCCACCTAATACGTCACTTTTCAACTCACCTAAAATATCTTGTCATTTTCAACCAACAGACCTTGAAACATCTCACCGGATTGGACTATAACAGATCCATGATCTTAGTTTTGTAACATTCCTACCCATTTCTCAAGGGAGTTAAGAAAGTCAAACAAAATGTCAATCCCCAACCAATCCAAAGAAGTCCAATAAGGTTCCAAGAAGGAAAAAATAACATAATTAGAGGTTTGACACAATCCAAGCAGCTATTTTACTAGCCACAAAATAGATTTGGATAAAACTCTGTCTATGTAAAACACGAGTTTCATAGGTTAACCTTGTTTAAATGACAGTTGCACTATTTTCACATATACGAGAAACTCAAACCGCAATTATAGGATTTTGGAAACATCTACATGGCCTTATACATTCTAGAAAAATAAATTGAGCCACTAAGAACATAAACTCACACTAAGTTTGCAAACGCAAAACCATAACAAACAAAGAGAAGAGCTATAACAAAAGCAGAAAGCAAATATGTTAAAAGTTTGAATCACAACCTTCATCTGCACCTGTTGAAAAAATAATGGCAATGGAGAAGAAAAATTATAAAAGTATATCAATGTAGGCTTGAACACAATCAATCTCATTGTTCTCAAACGTTATTTGCTTCATTTCCAATGCTTTTTAAGGATTTTCGACAAATAGTTTGTAGAATTAAACAAGCATTGACAAGAAGAACACCAAAAAGCAAATGTGTTTCTTCACAATGAACAAGTAAAAAATGAAATATTATGTGATTAATTTTCTCAATATTCAAAGTATAACTTGGGGATAAATTTTAATGAAACTCAATATATCTTTTTTGCACTTGGATCACCTATTTATAGGTTTTGACAAGTTTTTCACGAAATGGTGCAAAACAAGGATGAAAAGCCACCAATTTCAAATAAAAAACAGTCAAAAAACTAACATAACGGTTATTTTTGATAACCATGTGACTGCATGGGCTATAGCCATAGCCATGTGGTCACATGGTTATAGCTTTGCCAGCCCTCCCATTCTTGGAGAGCCTCATGCGATCGCATGAGTTTAATCTATGTGGTCGCATGGTTAAGCCCTCTTTTTTTCTTCGATTTTGAACAACAAATAAATTTCTAACAATCCCCCACTTATTCAAAATCAGCTTTAATCACATAATCAAATATCAACACTTATGCATAAGAATTAGATATCTATTGATTTGAATCTATTCATAGTGTAAATCTCATAAAGTATTATCAGAATTCCAGGTGGTTAGTGTGCCTTGAACCAGTTATTCTTTGTAACAATATCGACGAAATCACACACACAAGTATTAAGCTTTTCACTAATTCCTCTAACTCGCTTAGTGCTAATATGGTCTTGCACTAATCCTATTTCATTGAACTTTTAAAGAGAGAAAACTTCAACTCTCTAATGAGGCGGCACCACCTCAAAGTTCACATAGGTGAAGTTCTTCCAGTATCTTTGTTACTTTTACAGATATTTGTACTCCTTAATGAACTTCAATAAGAATTTATTTTAACTCATCCCTCCAACAGTAACAACGAACACTATTTTCCAAAGATAGTATTAGATATATTAAATAGTGTTGAATTCATCCACTTATCAAATAACTTGTTGTTACCTCTTGAACCTATATATATACTAGTTTATTATATTTTGGTGACGTTGCAGTTATTGGTGGATCTATTTGAGGAGTATTAATCCCATTTTACTTGATGTTGATCTCACTAACTCTTTTATGAGAGATTTTGTAAATGGATCGGCTAAGTTTTCACTAGACTTAATAAATATAAGAGAATTTACCCCATGCTTGATTAATTTTCTTACATACTCGTGTCTTAGACTCATGAGTCTAGACTTTCCATTGTATACTTTGTTATATGCTCGAGCTAGAGTGGCTTGACTATCGCACAAGATAGGTACAGAAGAAATATCATTTATATCTAAAGGTATTTCATATAATAAATCTTTTAGCCACTCAGCTTCTTTCCCGGTTTCGGCTAATGCTACAAACTCCAATTCCATAGTTGAATGAGTAATACAAGTTTGTTTTTTAGACTTTCAAGAAACCGCATCTCTTCCAAGAGTGAATATCCAACTTGAAGTAGATTTATTCTCTTCTGCACTCGATATCCAACTTGCGTCAATATATCATTCCAAGATTTTAGGAAATTTCGTATATTATAGCCCAAGATTTTTGGTTTTCTTTAGGTAACCAAGAACCCTACCGATGGCCTTCCAATGTTCTGAACTTGGATTGCTAGTAAACCTACTTAATTTACTTACAGCAAATGCTACATCAGGTCTTGTACATTGTGATGCGTACATAAGACTTCCAATTACACTTGTGTATTCTATTTGTGCAATTGCTCTATCTTCATTTTTTATTAATTTAATATTTGGATCTATAGGAGTGTTAGCCTTCTTAATATTCAAATGTTTGAACTTGTCTATCACACTCTCAACATATTGTGATTGGCTTAATATAAAACCCCCACTATCATTTTTAACTTTGATACCAAGGATAATATCAACTTCTCCAAGA